GGGGGGTGCGGTGGTGCCCACCCCCTGGCCCCAGCCCGTCTGGCGGTGCTCGGCGCCCCCGAGCTGACTGCCGCTAGTTCGCGCCGCGCCCGCGCCAGTGTGCCCAGCGCCACTGTCGCGAGCGCTCCGCTCAGCTCCGCCCCGGCCGCGCTCCGCCCGCTGCGCTCCCGCTGCGCTGCGCCGCGCGCCCCGCGGCCCCGAGCGAGGCCGAGCAGGCCAGGCCATTCAACAGGCCGACGACGTCGCGGCGCGGCGCGGGGCTACCTGGGCCGCTACCGTCAACCGCGCGGACGCCGGCGCGGCATGCTCCAGGATGACGTCGCCGTCGTCGACGACGGAGGCCGCGGCGGACGGCTACGAGCACCCCGTCGTCTCGGCCGAGGCAGCAGCGGCGGCGAGGGGCGGAACCAGCAACAGGTGATGGCGACGGGGGTGATGGTGGCGTGACCATGCCGCCGTGCTGCTGCTGCTGCTGCCTCGGCCACCACCACGCACCATGGGCTGCGGCCCCAGCACCATCATCAACCCTCGCAAGTGGCGGGGGCGGGCGCAGTCCAACCAGTCGGGTGAGTACTGGCCATCGCGACCAAACCTGGCTTTCCATTCCTGAGGTCCGTCATTCACCGTGGACGTCGTTGCCTCCTAGTTCAGCCTCTGCAACCTCTCGTAGCGCCTGACGGGTAGGCAACATCTCGCCTGCAGTGCATGCGTGTACCGCGGGGTGGCCTACCCCGAGTCTCGCAGGCGCCCAGCCCTTTGGTGTTTTGCCGAATGAAATCTGAGGAAGGAGACGGTCGGCGACTGAGTCGGCCACTGGTGGTCCAAGCTTAGCTGGCTCTGTATGAATCTCGTAAGAATCGAAGACTCATACTTCATAACTTCACTTGGGGGGAGGGATGGCATGGATGGTCATTGTGCCTGCATCATGTACCGTATTGTGAGAGTCGAGAGTATTACTTGCCATAGACGGAAAGTGGCTCAGCTTGAAATCTCCGTTGACAATGGGTTGCTGTTGTTGATAATTAGGGCGAATACGCATGCAGTTTTGGCGGTTTTCAAACGGAGCTGACAACGTGCTCGCAAGAGTATTTTCACGGGTTACAGCAGCACAGGCGTTTCTCTTGTGAGACAATAGTTCCACCCTCGCCTGTCAACGTGACGATTACTGACCGCTTCCGCAAAGGAGAGTGTTAGGAAGGGGCTTGGGTGGGTTTGTTCGTACACACCGCCACCACCTCCACACACCCCCAGGCATATAACACCCGCTCATCAGCTGAAAGACACACACACACACACACACACACACACACACACACGCCGCCACACCGCAGTTCGATACCCTCCTCAGCCTGCGGTGTAGGCAACCCAGCCGCACTGCGGTCGCACCGTCCCGCCCTGCCCCGCCCCGCCACGCCCCGGAACCAAATCTCTCGTTTGCGTGGCGTTGGTGGGGGCGGGGCAGGTCAAGAGCAGAGGCTGATGGCAAAGCGCGCTGCTGCTGACCGCGCTCGAG